TTGGAGAACGGGGTAAAACTAAATTTCTCCAACTATTTTAACATTAAAAAATGAAAAAAAGTAATAATATGATTTGGCCTATTAATTGCACCTTCATTAACGTGTTTTAATTTTCATCATTTTAATGATTCTGTACAAGTTTAAATTGAAGAAAAACAAGGGAGTTAATTTGGTTTAATTTGATGCAAACTCAGTTAAAAATTTATTGATTTTAAAAAGATATTAAATAATATTAATTTTATTCTAAAAGAAATAGTTAACATTCCCAATCTATTACCCTTGCCTTGATCTTGATTAAGTTTTAAAACCATGTTTTTTGTATTTTAATATTTGTTTCCCTTTTGTTGACAAGAAGGCAAGATTTCAAAATGTTTTTATTTCATCATCCTATTCTATCTTTTTCTGGTCTCAAGGCTGTAAAAATTAAAAAATAAAACGAAACTTTGCATTAATTCATTGTATAATTTTGAAACTTGTTATAGTTTAATAGACCAATTTATAATTAGACTGATTTATCTGATTAAATTAAAAAAAATAAAAAAATAAAACTTGAAGGTAACCAAGTGACCAGGTTAAAAACTTGGTTATAATTCATTAATTTTTATTTTTTATTTAAATAATATTATTTTAATTATTTTAAAAAATTATCCACACAATTTGATTATTCAATCAAAACTTAGAGCTCAATTCTTAAATCCAATCGAATCTAAAAACTATGATTCATATAATCTTTTTCCTCTCCATCCAACTGCATGTCAGAACTTCAAAAACATTCCGTCTAAAATTAAAACATGTGTTTTAAAATTCCAAAATGCCCTTACTGCTGAATTAAGCATCTACTTTTCAAATTATATATCGAGATCGGTTTCTTGATCGTAAAACATCAGACACGATGTACACGTATATAATTTTATAGGCGCGCGATTATATATATATATATATACACACACACACCTGTGAATATTCAATTAACTTGTGTGTATCTTAATCATACCAATATATTAGTCAATATGATAATTAATAATTTAACATATTGACTGGAATATATATTTATAAATTAATGGTTGGTGTGCATAATAATTTTAATAATAAGATGGTAAAAGAAAAGAATTGAATTCAATAATTATTTCTTTATATCCGTGCTACCAGAAAAATGACATGGGCGATCATGTATGGTCTCTGTTCATAATGAGTGGAGTCCATATCTAAACCAATAAAAAAATATTTTTTATATTAATATATTAAAATATTTGAAAAAATATTAATTTCGTATTTTTTAAATAAAAGGTTACATGACAGAAACAAAAACTGGGTGACATTAACGTAACAAAGTTTCTCCTGGGACGAGACAAAGGGCGAGGAATAAAGCACCAATGAGCTTGCAGAACGTGTGCGTGTGTGATAGGGCTAGAGCAACAGCGGTGGCAGAGGACAGGGTAAATAAAATAGAGTGAGAGAATGTTAAAAAGATTTTTCTTTTCGAGATATAAAAACTTTTCAGGACAAAGATTCATCCCTTTGTTGCTTTAGACCACACACAACTGCTAATAGACAATACACGTGGGGCCCACTGACTTCCATCACCTGTCCTCCTCCCCTGCTGCCTGCTTGGACCATCACGTGAACTTGCCCTTCATTTTCTCGGAACCCCTTTTTGTTCTTCTCGTCTCTAATGCAATGGTGTGTTGTCAAAGGAACTCATTTATACCTGACCCGTTTTGTTGGTGTACCTGCCTTTTTTTTTTTTAATTATTAATAAGTTATTTTAATGTATTAAAATTAAAATTTTTAAGAGATATTATTGAAATATATTTTAATTAAAAAAATATTATATATCAAATTATCAAACAATAACTCAATGTTTAATTGACCAAATCAAAACTTTACCTTGTCTAGAATATCTAGCATCTTTTCTTTTGTTTATATTGGATATATGTTAATATAATCGTGATTGTTTTTATATTAAAATATTATTTTTTATATTAATAAATTAAAAAAAAATTAAAAATTAAAAAAATTAAAAAAACATATTTTTATCCAAGTTATATCCTTAATAGAGGCATCGCCTTCAACTAAAAAAAGTTTATTATCCAAAAAAATAAAATAAAAATAATATTTTTTTTGTATTTAAGTTTTGTTTTAGTAAAATAAAATTTTTTAGAACTCATTCGTGAAAAAAAATATAATTTACTACACGAGACCTTTTTGTATGTCAACAGAGACTGTTTTGGCATTGCAAAATTAACTAGAATGATTCTTATTAAAAAAAAAACTAAATATTTCTATCAAATGTGTATTTCTCATAAATGCTTACTTGATAAAGGCTCGTTTAATACAACAAAAAATGTCTTTTATTGTGTAAAAATTGTTTTTTCATTCACTAGGACGAGGCATTTGATATATATATATATAAATGTAAAATATATTTAATTGAGATTTTTTTGGAACAATAGAATTTGTAATCATATACAAACTTGCTATAATGTCACTTTTAAGCATGTATATATAAAGTAAAACAAGAGATTTCAATGTATATTTGAAATTATAGTAGTTTTTGTTTAAAAAATTATTTTTTTAAAAAATTATTTTTTAGTGTGTTTTTATAATTTTGCTGTGGCGATTTAAACAAAAAACACTACACTAATATGTTTTTAATTAAAAATTATTTTTTAAAATATCTTATGTCACATTATCAAAAATATATTTCAATTAATTTTAAATTTAATAAGTTAACATGAAGACATAGAACAATCTAATATTCATTCAATTAGAAAAAAAAGTGATTGTTTAAAACAAATTTACAAAACAAATGCATACTTTTCAAGCTAATATTCATTTTCAAGATATTTTTTCCTTGTCAATCCTAAAAGATATTGTCTTTGAAAATGGAAGAGCCCAGGTGAATTGAACGAGGAAATTACGTCTCCACAAACATCTCATACCTACTAATTTGCACATACTTACTACAAAAAGCAAATTAAATGGTCATTAGTTTCTGCAAAGACAACATGGACCACGCACCATTTGCCACTTAAATTTTTTAAATAAAGTAATGATCAAATGTTTTATATTGGGCTAATTGGCGATGCAAAGCATGTATTATACTATATTATATAAATGCCTATTTGAAATGGGACAAGTCTGGCATGGCGAGCATGACCCATATAAGCATTTAAATTCTGCCTTCATTTCTCCATCATGCAAAATAAAATCTCGAAGCCATTTTTTTTCTTGGTTCCACAGCCTTCCATGCCTCAAGAAACAATTTTTTTGTTAGTGGAAAACAATGTTTTTGTCTTGATCATAGGTTAGTGCTCATCACCAGCTGGAGGTTTTGCCTTTGATCTTTTAGGAAATGGAGCAAGAAATCGAATAAAGCCGAGCTTTATAGCTTTATCTGGGCTCAAAATATGTAAAGATGACTGTAAACATTACCAAAAATAGCTAAAGTAGCCACCTCAATTTCATGAAAACCAACACTGTCGTATAAACTATAAAGTCCTTGTCATCAATAAAGTAGGAGATCGAATCTCTAGCTATGTTTACCACGATAAAATCAGATTTCTCACGAAGAAATAATCGTACGAGATAGTAGGGGTGACCATGGCTGTTCATAATTGCGGTACCCTCCGACCCCTGGCGCACGACAGCACATGGCGAAACAGCTAGAGAAAAAGCAGTAAGATTAAAGAAGACAGTGCAATTAGAAAGAGACATTGCTAACGTGCGCCATTGAAGTTAACTACACACCCCTCCCATTTCACATCCATCCAAACCTGCCTGTTAATAGCACGGCAAAACCGCTTCCCCATAAAATCTGAACAGCTTTTCCATTATAACAAACGCCGTTAGCGGGGAGAACCTATCATCTATTGACACGGCTTAACGTCTAAGTCAACTCCGTTAGCTCCTAGCAAATAAAAAACAACCGCCTCTTTTTTTTTTGTATTAAAATTATTACCATCTCTTATCCGGTAATAAACAAGACAACCTTTCGAATCTCCTCGTGTCCAAGCTTGGAAACAACAGCGTTTTTTTTTTTTTTAATTTTTTTTTAAGATTTTAATCTTTTTTCCCCAAGAAAAATAAAATATGAATTTTGTAAAATTTTAAAATTCTTTCTTGAAAGGAGAAGTTGTGGTGAATATTATAGTAATTTTTATAATTATAGTTTTCAAAAATATTTTAATATGACTTTTAAAAAATAGATTTTAAAACACATGTATTTCATTAAAACTATTGTAAAATGAATTTTTACATGTAATATAAATAAAAAAATAAATTATTTTAGCTTATAATTATGTATGAGATATTTTCTATTTATTTTTCTATTTTAATTTTTTTGTGTATATTTTTAGATTATTTTGATATATTGATATTAAAAATATATTTAAAAAAATTAAAAAAAAATATTATTTTAATAATTTTTCAAGCAAAAAATAATTTAAAAAATAATCATTATTACAATATCAAACACTATTATAATATAAAAAATTATTTAATTAGCCAAATAATTTTTTTATGATCATATAAAAAATAAAAATTATTGTAATACCAAACAATTTTAAAATCCATAAAATGAAGGGTTTTAGATTTATTTTACTTTACTTAGTAAAATAAATTTATATTTTTAGATAATAATTTCTAAATTAAAACTCAAAAAATAACAAAATTATGCAAACATCTCAAAATATTACAAATAAAATAAATAAAAACACTTCAAGTCTAATATTCATCAGCATATCATTTTAGGTTTTAATCTCTAAAAAAAAACCATATAAAATAATTCCTTTAAAAATGAAAGTATTTGCAAATGCATTCCCAAAGCGTTGGCATTCTTTTGATAGAGACAAGTAGTATATACTGAATGTTAAGAAAAATAATATGAAAATACAGGTGACCGGCTAATGCCGGTAGTAAGACTGGTTAACATTTGACTGCAGTTGAAATGATTGCAACTCTGTTTTGACCAGAGATGGTTAAATTCTCTCTTCCTCTACAAACAACACACGAAAAAGAAAACGCACACAGAGAAGATAGAGAGAGAATAATAAAGAGAGAGAGAGAGAGCTAGAATTGCTGAGATAGAGAGAAGTGAAGAGCGAAATTGAAGCTTAAACGAGGAAATTTGATGGAGAAATGAGAGGGTAGTAGTTTTATGGTGTTGGCGTATGTAACCGTGAAGATTAATTGTGTTTTAGAGAGAGAAAGTGGAGAAATGGTTGATTAGAGTTGGATTATTTGTGAAATTAAGTTAATTATTCTGTTTTAAGAAGAGATCTAGAGTAAGAGAAGGAAAGATTGTGATAATTTTATGGCTTCCTCAGAGATTTCAGCAAAAGCTAACAGTGGAAACATTAAAGGAGGAGGAGAGAGCTTCTCTTCTGGTTACAGTGAAGCTATGGGAGGGCAAAAAGGTCATTCCACCCATCCAAGCTCAGCTAGAGGTACAATTCACGCTTCAGTGGATGTTTGAAGTGATTTTTTTGTGGATTTCTCTTTTAGATTTTGAGTTTGTTTTGTGCTGTTGTAGATGCTGAGACTGCGTTGTATAATGAGCTATGGCATGCTTGCGCTGGTCCTCTAGTGACTGTACCTCGCGAAGGAGATCATGTGTTTTATTTCCCTCAAGGACATCTAGAGCAGGTTTGGTTTTGTTTTGTTCTAGCTGTATTTTTTTTTTGCCTTTTTCTTTGAGATTTTTTAGCTATAATTCAGCAATCATTTTTGCGGGTTTAGTTTGTTTTCTGGACTTTTGAAGGTTTTGTTGTTGGATTTTTGGTGTGATTGGGTTGTGAAATGGATGTAGGTGGAGGCATCGACGAATCAGGTAGCAGACCAGCAGATGCCGGTGTACGATCTTCCACCGAAGATCTTGTGTCGTGTTGTTAATGTTCAATTGAAGGTATGCGAAATCTGCTTATTAGTTCGTGTTGGGTTTTTCAGGGTTTTGTGTGTCTGGTGGTTTGCTTATGCGATTAATTTTGTGAATTATCACAGGCTGAACCGGATACTGATGAGGTGTTTGCACAAGTGACTCTACTTCCTTTGCACAACGTATGTATTCACTGTTGATTTGTGATTATGTAGCGTTCGGGATTGGAATAGAAATTCTGATTTTTTTTTCCCATGGATTCTTTAACGTCAGCAAGATGAGAATGCATCGGAGAAGGAGCCTCCTCCACCTCCACCACCACGATTTCATGTTCATTCATTTTGTAAAACCCTGACTGCTTCGGATACCAGTACTCATGGTGGTTTTTCAGTTCTTAGACGACATGCAGATGAATGTCTTCCACCATTGGTGGGTTTTTACAGCTTCTACCTTGGGTTTCCCTGTGGGCCTTCTTGTTGAATTAGGACTTCAGTTGTAAGTGTGGATGTTTAATACTTGCTGAATTACAGGATATGTCAAGGCAGCCTCCGACACAGGAATTAGTTGCCAAGGATTTGCATGGAAGTGAATGGCGATTCAGGCACATTTTTCGGGGTAATCATCTCATACTCAATGACCTTGTTATTTCCTCTAATACACCTGTGGTGGGAACATATTCAAACCTTTCCACCTATTTGTGAATGTATCGAGACCCCTTTTAGTATAATATCTCCATTGTTGCGATGATGATGTCGACTTGCTGCCATAAAGCTTTAATGCATTGAGTTTCAACTTTCAAGGCATGGAATGTTGTAGCATTTAAGCCACCAGTTTCTTGATACACAAAATGATTTTAATGCCAGGTCAACCACGGAGGCACTTGCTTCAGAGTGGATGGAGTGTGTTTGTTAGCTCTAAAAGGCTTGTTGCTGGTGATGCCTTTATATTTCTAAGGTCTGGTTTCCTTGTTATACCTATTAGATTTGATGTTCTAATTTAATTTTGACTAGTCTGAGTGGAATAAAAAGTGTATTTTGCATTTTATAGAGGTGAGAATGGAGAACTTCGAGTTGGTGTTAGACGTGCAATGAGACAGCAGAGTAATGTTCCATCATCGGTCATATCCAGCCACAGCATGCATCTCGGTGTTCTTGCTACCGCATGGCATGCTGTTTCAACAGGGACAATGTTCACTGTTTATTACAAGCCAAGGTGAGTGGTTTATTGCTAACATGTGTAGAGAACAAATGAACTGGTAGAGTAATTTATTTATGAGTTTTTGATATGCAAATTTGTTCATGTTTTGATTTTCCTTGAATCTGATTTTTGTTCATCATGGGATTTGATTGTTGATTAGCATGGCCTGGTTCCTTGAAGTGGAATGGTCTTGTTTTTGTAACTTATTCTGGTAAACAAAAATAACGGGAATACATCTATCATATCTAAATATTAAAATGTACAATCGAGCGATTAATTTCTTGCCTTCGGTTGGTTACCTTAATTATTCTAACTTTCTTGCCACAGGACAAGTCCTGCTGAGTTCATTGTCCCATTTGATCAATACATGGAGTCTGTCAAGAGTAATTATTCCATAGGGATGAGGTTTAAAATGAGATTTGAAGGAGAAGAAGCTCCTGAGCAAAGGTATGACTGCTGCTTGCTTTCAGGTTCTGTGCTGAAAGCTACCTGTTATTTGGAAGTTTGATGTACCCTGGCAATTTCTTGTCTGTGATTTAAGCTTTCTAGGATTATTGGATGTTTGTGTCCATGGAAAACATAACATTTTGGTGGTTCATGATTTTCTGTTGTAGATTTACTGGCACTATTGTCGGAATTGAAGATGCTGATCCCAGTAGGTGGAAGGATTCTAAATGGAGGTGCCTTAAGGTAGTATTTCAGTATTTATGATGGCATGTAGCACTTTCATTTAGAGTGCTAAACAGGGTTTTATGTTCCTACCAGGTGAGATGGGATGAAACTTCTACAATACCTAGACCAGATAGAGTTTCACCATGGAAAATAGAGCCTGCTCTTGCACCTCCTGCACTAAATCCTCTTCCAATGCCCAGGCCAAAAAGGCCCCGAGCAAACATGGTGCCATCATCTCCCGACTCCTCTGTTCTTACCAGAGAAGGTTTGTCCTGTTGTTCATTGATGATGTCTGTAGATAATTTGAGTAGTTAAAATGATATTTAAGTCTCTTGACTATTAATGTGCAGGTTCATCCAAAGTAACTGCAGACCCTTCATCAGCAAGTGGATTTTCAAGAGTCTTGCGAGGTCAAGAGTTCTCGACCTTGAGAGGCAATTTTGCTGAGGGCAACGAGTCTGATGCTGCTGAAAAGTCTGTTATGTGGCCACCCTCAGCAGACAATGAGAAGATTGATGTGTTATCATCTTCAAGAAGATTTGGACCAGAGTGGTGGATATCCTCTGCCAGGCAGGAACCGACCTACACGGATTTGCTATCTGGCTTCGGGGCAAATGCTGATTCATCCCATGGGTTTGGTGCTCCGTTTGTTGACCAAACTGCTGGGGGCGCTAATCCAATGAAGAAACACTTGTCAGATCAAGGGCAGTTCAACTTGCTTGCCAGCCCATGGTCCATAATGTCCCCAGGCCTCTCTCTAAAGTTGTCAGAGTCAAACTCTAGGGTTCCAATACAAGGAAGCAGCGATGTAACATATCAATCAAGGGAAAACATCAGATACAGTGCTTTCAGTGAGTATCCCATGCTTCACGGTCAGAGAGTCGAGCAATCTCATGGAAACTGTATGATGCCTCCCCCGCCATCTCATTTTGATAATCATGCTCATACAAGAGAGCTAATACCAAAACTCAAACCGGTGCAAGAACATGATACCGGAAAATCTTTGGATGGAAACTGCAAGCTATTTGGTATTCCCCTGAAAATTAGTAAACCCGCCACACCAGAGCAAGCAGGATCAACAAACATGGTGTACGAACCGATGGGTCACACCCAACCTGCAAGTCACCAACTCACATCTGAATCAGATCAGAAGTCAGAACACTCCAGGAGTTCAAAGTTGGCCGATGAAAATGAAAACGAGAAACCAATCCAGGTTGGTCACATGCGAATGAGGGACAGTCATGGAAAAGCGCAAAACAGCTCAGCCAGGAGTTGTACAAAGGTTCTTGCCTATTTGCTCACTAAACATCTTTCTTTGGTTCATAAGATGTTTGGTATATGCCTGTTAGAAAAAAATTCATATGCTAATTGCATCTTTTGTTATTCCAGGTTCACAAGCAGGGGATTGCACTTGGTAGATCTGTTGATCTTATGAGGTTCAATAACTATGATGAGTTGATTGCTGAATTGGACCGGTTGTTTGAATTTAATGGTGAATTACTGGCTCCCCAAAAGAATTGGTTGATTGTGTATACTGATGACGAGGATGATATGATGCTTGTTGGAGATGATCCCTGGCAGTAAGGACTCTCTTTAAATTTTGCTTGAAAAATTTATTGTCTGTTGTCTTTTGACTCAAATCTTAGGCATTTGTCTGGGTTTCTTCTTGCTGTGGTCTTGTATAACTGGTGACATTGTGTGTGAAACAGGGAATTTGTCGGCATGGTTAGGAAGATTGTTATTTACACCAGAGAGGAGGTACAGAGGATTAAACCAGGCACTTTAAATTCAAGAGTCAATGAAAATCCATCGGGCGTGGAGGGTGAGGAGGCTAAAGAAGCCAAACATCTGCCACTTCCTTCAGCATCTAGTCCTTTGAATTGTTAGATTTGGCTCCCTCAGGTTCAAGGTAATTTTCTAGTTGTGTAAAGCAAGTTTTTACATTTCTCTCCTTGCATTCCTTAGCAGTAAATCCTGTTCAGATACCATGAGAGCCCTTTCCCTTGCGTTCAACTATTTTTAGAATGTGGATATTAATTATGTGCTGTCGTTCTTATGTCAGGTTTTGGGTTCAGGCAGCAAGAGAATGCAATGGCTATTTCAGTTGGTAAGAATGAGATGGGTGCCAGTTTACTACTATCCAAGATGTCAAGTTTGCTGGTATAAAGAATAGATGCAAGAATGATATAATCCAATTTTGGACCTTTTATGGAGCTAGTATTGTATGGTGTCCAGTTATACATAATTTATATATAGCCGCAATGTCTAGCGAAACCCTTGCTTTTTTTCCGAGCCAAACCATCCTGAACCTTGTACATAACTACCTTACCTTTACCCTACCTCTTAATGTAAGTAAGTTTATACATCATCTAATGGGTTTTTGGGCAAGTCTAGCTCCCTACTCTCCTAATGTTCCATGTTGTTGGGTTCCGTGGTTCTAGCCATCTCAAAGCGTACTAGCAAATCATTTATAGTGCAAGGACTCCCAGAATTGGTTTCTAACATTGATGTCTACCACGAGTTTTTGTTATAATGTAGGCTTGAGAAATTGGTGGAGCCTCGGAGGTCAGGATTTTAGGCATCCAGTGGAAAAAAGGTAAAGGTAAATAAGTGGGTGGTGGGTTGCTTTGACAGTAGAGTGACCCGTTCTGCTTCTCTTGGGGAACCCAGTAAATAAAGGGGTTTCAGTCGCTTGCATGTGGGTTGCGGGCCACGGCACCCGTTGGTGAGGGGTTCACATTGATGGGGGAACAAGGGGGTGCCCACATGTTAAAGATAAGGCAAAAACGAAATGGGGTTTCGTTTGTTGCAGCCAATCGACGATATGGAAGTTTCATCTTATCTGATCCAAGGCATTTGTGCTTGACGTTTTCCATCGGATTGGATCAAAGGAATTGGACGGTTGGGAGCCTGAGTTCGTTACTCATCTTGCATTGAATCACTTTTTGCTTGCTTGCCATTTTAAATTTTGGTTTAAGCAGTAGTGGGGATTTCCTGTTCCAAGGACTGCATCTGCTGCTTACCTGGTTTTGTTTTTGCATGGTTTCATGTAGTATCTTGTTTGGTGGATGGGAAATTCAACTTGGTCTTAAGTAAAATCAAAGTGTTGAACAAATTATCAGATAAAAATTTGAGTAAATTCTTATCTGGACATGGTTTGTGATAGGCCATGCTTACCGTGAGTATGGTTCATCTTCATCAGCTAGCCAAGCTAACCATGACACTTGTTTTTAATAAACATATTAAAAATACCTTGTGATATAATTGTTTTTTTTATTTTATTAATTCCCCCACAAGGTAAGAGATCTTACTTGGAAAGTGAAGGCTCTTTTACCAATATTTTCCACGGTAAAATCTATAGAAAGGACTTGCGTGGCCTGTGTAAAAACAAATTAGAAAACAGGGTAATTAGCTTTACAGTGCTAAAGACATGAAGAGTAAGTGTGAAACTGTTTCAAAAGGATAAGTGGAAAGCTCTCTAAGTAAACCTGGATTCTCAGAGTTGGATGGTCCTTGCTGCGAGATGAAGACCAGAAAATCTTGAGTTGAACTCAGCAAGTAAACGACGAGAAGCCGAGTATGGTAAATTGAACAAGCATGGCAAGTCTATATGTGCAGAAGTTCGAAAAATCTTCGTAGGTTGTGGGTTTGATTTTTTTTTAATATAAAATAACATTCAAGCGTTGTTAATGCATGTTTTAAAAGAAAAAAAAATAAGAAAAAAAATTAATTGACATGATATGATATGAAGTTAAACAATAAATAAAAATATAGTTTAATTTAAAATTTTTAAAAAAATCAAGATATATTTTTAATAATATTAAATGATAATATATTAAATTGATTTGAATTAATCTTACAAATTAATTATTTAGATTATAAAACCTTTATAACCAAATATAAAACAAATAAAATTTTTATTAAATTAATTTACAATTATTAAAGGATAGAATTAAAACCAAATTTAATTAAAAAATAAATTGAGTTAATGTAGATTAACCTACTAAATATTAATTGGAATAACTTAATAAAAATAAAAATAAAACAAATTATAAAACTCAATTTATAATTAAAAAAAGACACATAAAATTACCTAAGTCAATCAATTAAACTCGTGAATCGAATCATAAACTCGTAGAATATGAACTAAAACAAATTATGAAGTCTAATTCATAATTAATTCAATATCAAATAATAAAATTAAAAAAAATCAACTAAAAAAAAACACTTAAGTTAATCTGCTTAACCATAACTAGAGTCATAAGACTATGATAACCGCATAAAAAATAAATGAAAAACAATTATAAAACTTAATTTTTAATTAATTCAATATTAAAGGATTAATTGAAGAAAAAAAATAAAGAACATAAAAAATAACTTGAGTCAACTTAGGTTAATCTACTAAACTTGGATTAAAAAACCGAGATAACTATATGAAAAACAAATAAAAAATATTATAAAGTTTAATTTTCAATCTATTTAATATTAAAAGATAAAATTAAGATAGAAATACTCAAAGAGATTAAAAAAAATCAAGTCAACCTAACTCGCAAAACTTACAAGTTAGATCATAAAATTATGGCAATCTCATAGAAAAAAATAAAAAAAAAAATTATGAAACTCAATTTTTTATTAACTCAATGTTGAAATATATAATTAAAAAAAATAATTAAAACAAAAAAAAATAACTCAAATTAATACAGCTAACAAGTAAAACTCATAACCTGAATTATAAAACTGAAACTTGATAAAAAAATCAAAATAAATTATAAATTATAATACCCAATTAAAAGATAAAATTGATTTCACTGCTTGTTCAAAGCAAGGCTCATTTAGTATATGTTGATTAATTAATTAATGGGTATTTTTATTGAAATGCTGAAAGCAAGGCAGGAGATTATAGAATCTTGATTCTTCCAAAAATTTAAACTGATGGTGAGTTTTTCTGCATGATACCTATCCTACAGCAGCCTTCAGAGGCAGCTAACTAATAACACTATTGGTGACATAGAAGACCACTTTGATTGACAGAAAGACAACAATTGAGCAACTTTTCCCGTCACCAGCCAACTGAGCTTCATAGCGTTACTTCAAGTTCAACAGGTTACTACATCGCGCCATGGAAGCCAGCTGAATCCAGTAGGACTGCTTTAATTTGATCTGGATGCATGTCCTGCCCTTCTTTGCATTGCTGAGAAATAAAAAGACATGTCAGTATCCCAAGGACGAAACACACACAACGCAACAATCGCATCCGAGTTTGTGAACATTTTAATAAGAAGGCAAACCCTCCAACAGATGCAAGGAAGTCATGAGGGAGAGTATATCCAAGGAGCTATAAATAAAGCCATTTGCATGATATACATCCCAAGATTTTAAAAGAGAATTGCAGACAGACAAGCTATATAAAAAGGTTGAAGTTGGAAAATCATATGGATCAATGCGCAAGATACGTCAAAGTTTCACTTCCAATTTAATGGAGAATACATACCAACTAATGGGATCAGCGTGATGTGGAGTTTAGCTGTATATTCTAGATTAGGAAGTAAAGGAGAAAACGTACCTCAGCTCGGAAGATATCCATGGCAAAACCATTGAAACAGCTAATGACAGCTTGCTGAATGTCTAGCCCAAGGTTATCCAAAGCTCTCATAGTGGAGAGCAAAAGACCTGGTTTGCGGCCACAAAACATGTGGATGTTTACAGCTCGCCCTTCTCTCACTCTAACCTCGACCTGTACGTTTAGCAAAAGAGTAACTCAGCAGATGAAACACTCCTGTAATATAAAAGGAACCACCCATTTTAAAATATACACTTGAGAACAGACTGCATACAACCAAGTAATGAGAAATGAGACCAACTTTGGGTTTGATAGGTTATTCCGAGCCCACAATATCCAAGAGTACCATTCTTTGGAAATTTTAAAAACTGAAACTGAATGTCGTAAAAATATAAAACAGGATAAGCTAATTCAGTGACCATGCTAAATCCAACAGATGCAATAAGAAAATAATAATAACAATAATTTACCCTTGCAGGTTGGCCATTTGGGCTTGGCAACGAGCCGGGGCAAAGTTTGTCCATGATACGGCTGGGCAGTGCTGATGGAGTCGGTGTCAAAGGATGAAAACTAGTGGTTGGCGTCAATGAAGAGCTGGAAGGAGTTGACTCCAATTCATTATGGAGGTCATTAATCCTTTGCAGAAGTTCCTTCAAGTATTCAATTGCATCCCCGAGGATTGATGCCCTATCCATCTGTCAGGGCAAGGCCAATAAAACTCCATGATATGATTTTAAAGCACGGGTGAAAAATTTGAGTTCCAAAATCCAGATGCATCTTTTAATAATTTGGCTTAAAGAGCGGAAGAGTTCTGTTTTCCTCCAGAAACGTCAGATTTTGGAGAAAGCATTTTTGAGATCAGCCAAACTAAACAGAAAGTGCAAAACCTGAAAGACTATTGTTTCAAGAATTTGTCATCTCTATTATGAATCTCAATATTCCTCAGTCCAACATGAACTATTGAATCGTCATGTCAAAGAGTGATAAAATTTCAAAGGCAGATACCAGAGTTCAGCCAATGCAGACGGTACAAAAAATAGGTCATTTTGAATTTGTTTGCTTCTTCTGTGGTTCCTGAATCAGTAAGAAAAACTAAATGGGAAATGATGTTTAGGAGGAAAATTCAAAAATATACTCTTAATATCCACAATACAATGAATCAGGCTATGTACTTTCTGATTGAAGGAAGCTTGGGAAGTACAAAGAGTTGGGAGTAGGCTGCAAATTATGTTGGACTGTGAAGGGGAAGAGTTTGGCTTTCGGCAGAACTTTCACAAATTCAAGGTATCCTGTGATTTTCTTACATGGTTCAAAGCTTTATAAGTTGAAATAAAATCCAAGCTTTATCTTTTCTCTTGTTCAAGACACAATCTCAGATCTCTTAAGTAAGCTTGCAAATAATATCAGAATCAAAAGCTGTGTATTGGAAGTGGATTTCTTAAAATACTCATTGCTGAATGCAAGGTTGATAATCAACCTTGTGAATAAGTAAACCAAACACCGAGATCCATGAGGATGCCACGGCAAGAAATCAAACTATACCAAGCAGGAAACACAGACAAATTAGAAGCGTCAGGAACATGGAGCTTCAAACAGGCACAGATAGAGAGGATTGTTAAGTCTATGGAAGAAAGCAAAATATATCAGCAAAAGGAATTGAAGGTCATAAGATTTAACCGATTCATAGGAAAGAAGGAAGAAAAGAAAAGAAGAAATTTGCAATTCAACAACTTTATGATGGAGAAAAAATAAAGGAATATGGTGAAAGTAAACAATGGTACCAGAGGTCCATGTGAGAGGATTTAATGCAACTTTTTTAAATCCATACAAAAACAAAAGATGCTACTCATTCAAAAAAACAAAGCAAATTACAAACACATTCTCTCTCACGCTCAAAGACATACTAAATGATTGTAAGGACAAAAAATAGCATTAAACAATTCAAATTCACAAGAAAATGATGAGGAAGAAAATTCTTACTTTGCTGATCTTTGGAACAACAGACCTCAGCATGTACAGCCTATCATTGAGCTTCTTCCGGCGCCTCCTCTCTG